TTCGCTCTCCGCTCAGCCTCGCTCCTTGTTTGTCCCACAGGTTCCTTCTGAAGGCGAGCTGGAGTCTGTGCCTGCCGCCTGGGGGAGAGGCGGGGTGCTCGGCGAGAAGGAGCCAGAGGGCAAGTCCGGCTTAGGGGGGGGGGGCGGTGGCTGGAGGGCCGGGTACCATTCTTATGCATCTTAGTGTCACCCGTGCAGTCGCGGAGGGGCTGCCCCGTGTTTCCGGAATGAATGAATCATTCCTCCCCTCTGAAGGAGGACTTTTTGAGGTCCACGTGCTGCAGAGCAGTTGGGGGGCCTCCTGAGGCAGGGCCCCCCTGCGCTCTCATTGCTCCTCCTCTGTATGCCCTGTCCTCGGGGGAGGCTCCCTTCCGGTTGGGGCTGGGGGATGGAGGGAAAGGAGGGAGCTTGTAGGCCCAGCCAGATAACTTGTTGAAGGTGTGACAGGCAAGGGACTTGGTTGAGCCTCACAGAAGGTCACGGGAGAAGGGGGTGTTGTGGAGGAGAGCGCCCAGGGGCCACGCGTCACTGAATTCCTCAGCCTCTGTTTCTCCATCAGCGGAGTAATAGTATTAGTATTCGTTCCTCGGAGCCTTGGGCAGATTAAGACAGATGTCAGATGAGATCACCCAGCACAGCGCTGGGCACATTGCAGGCGCTCAGCAGACCGCAGTGTGCTCCCCCGTTCTGCAAAAAGTGAGCAGGGTTGTTTGTTCCCGCTCCCTCTGTCCCCACATTGGCCACAGACAGACACAGTAGATGTGTCATCACTGTTTGTTGAATGAATATGTTCGATGGGGCTTCCCCCTCCTCCCCCTCTTCCTCCAGGATCCAGGCAGGCGGGGAGCTGACCAGCACAGACATGCCGGTGCTGTCCGAGGACTCCGGTGAGTGCGGCCCGGCCCCGGGCTTGGTCTCCACACCCCGAAGATAAGAAGGAGGGAAAGCAGGCTGCTGTCAGCTGGCTCTCCGGAATGTGAGCCTGGAGGGAATGTTCACAGGACAGGCTGATGTGTGGTTTGAGGGCCCACTGGGGGTCTCCCTGGGGGTCTCCCTGGGGGTCTCCGTGGACCCTTGTGTTTGCTGGACTCTGTTTTCCTTCACTCTGGCAGGCTTGCATGAAACCCTGGCGCTGCTGACCTCTCAACTCAGACCTGACTCCAACCACAAGGAAGAGATGGGCTTCCTGAAGGATGTGTTCAGTGAAAAGAGCCTCAGTTACTTAATGAAGGTAAAGCCCCCTTTCCTCCCGTCTGGTGAGGGTTTCTGGAGGTCGCCCTCGCCACCCCGCTGCCCCAGGAAGGCCTCCCGGAGCCCACTGTGCAGGCCTTCTCCTAGCTGCCCTGTGGATGACCCAGTTTGCAGCCCTGCAGCCGGGCGGCCGGGTGGTGTCCAGGGTAAAGTAGGCAGCTGGCTTGGGAGGCCCCAGCGGGAAATCGCTGTCTTCGCAGATTCACGAGAAGCTTCGCTATTACGAGCGGCAAAGTCCAACCCCTGTTCTGCACGGCGCCGTGGCCCTCGCCGAGGATGTAAGCCCCAAGTTTCTCCTTCTGGTGTCAGCCTCTCCCCACCCGTAGTGCTCTGTGTTCTTGCCTCATCACCATTGCTTAGCCAGGCGCCTGGGGAGCCCCCAGGTGAAGTGTCTCCTTCCCCCCTCCTCCTCCTCCTCCCTCTCCTCCTCCCTCTCTTCCTCCTCCTCCTCTTCCCCCTCCCCCCTCCTTG